TGTTTGACTTGACTAAGACCCATCATCCGTAGGCTGTGTGTTAGCAATCCTAAAAAGAATTACCACGACGAGATTCTGTTGCAGTGTTGAGTTAAGGTGTATATGAATTAATGAACCGAAACATCTTATCTCATTCTTACTTCCTGATCTCATATTTGATTACAATTTTTTTTTTTCATATTTGATTTCCCAGTCCCATCCACTCACATTCTAATTCTACCACTTTTACGATTTAAGCATCTAGCGCTGACCTGGTTGCTGCACTCTAATTACCAGTTCAGTGCAGCCACTTCTCAGTTTTAATTTTCATATATTACGCTGCAGCACCGCCTTGAGCGGATTCGCGGTGCGTACCACTCTACAGCAGCAACAGCAACAACAGCAGCCGCAGATCCAGGTGCACGTGGAACCTAGTCGAATTGTTGTACAACGATCCGGAGAATGTAATTTCAATGTATTCTACGAGCTATGTGCTGGATTAGATGCAAGCGAGAAGCGCAAGCTCGGTTTGAAGAGTACTGCCACCGCTGCAGCTATAGATCAACAATATTTCTACCTCAATCAGGTTTGATTAAAAAGTTAAGTACTTTATGTGGTCGGGCTCGGGCCGCACTAATAAGTTCGGAAAACGACATGAACCCCAGCAAAAACACTAGGGGTGCTTGTTTATGGTTATTGTTGGGGATAGGATTAATGGGGATAGGATTAATGTCCTTGATATTACTTGTTCAATATACTACACGTAATTAATATCATTTCTCGCTTTTTTTGCAGGGCAAGGTTCCATCAAATGAAGCAGTAGAGCGCCGAAAATTTGAGCGGCTCTGCAGTGCGCTGCAGTTGCTAGGGATCAGTGAACATCAGCAAAACTTCATGCATCGCATTCTTGCTACCATACTGCATATTGGCAATCTTTTCTTCAAGCCTACCAAGGTAATTAATGATCAGATCATCCGGGAAGAAATACCGCAATTTGTTTTTACTGACATTCAGCTCACCTTATGGGATCTCATCATACTCTCTTGCAAGGCTTTCACTCATCAGAAGGAATGTACTAGGAATTAACCGTGTTGGATTTTCTGAGGATACTTGAAATGTTTTACTCAGGACGCACCAAAACTACATTTGAAAACGGCCAAGAATTTTTCAGTGCGAAAATTACCAAATTTAATCTGCTTTTCGATGTGATACATCTTTAAAAGTCGCCCTGCGCGCTTACGCTCTTTCACCTAAGCTGTAGAACTTGGCGTATTTACCATCTCATGCGTGTATGCGAATCAGTTTAGAAGCAGACCTAACAGTCGTTCATCTTCTCGGGGATATAATTCTGAAGGTCACCGGTACTGGGAAAACAAGCAGTATGCCTCTGTCATCAAAATTCACTTTCTTTTACTCTGCAATGACAGTCGAATCATCTGACAAAGCGAATGATCACTCACGAAAAAAAAAAAAATCCGAGCATACTCATAACCGCATCGCTCTTCCCGCGACCGTCATTTCTTCCTTTTCCGCTTTCTTCAATCACATGGCGTTCTGTAATAGATTTCACTTTTTTGGAATCAGTTTGGATAGCTGTTCGACTTCTTAGTAAGAGTATTCATTTCTTTCGACGATAAATTGCTACTGACATATGCCAGAAAGTCAGTCACGCCATCAGCTTGCTTTTAAGCGTTCCTCGAAAGA